GACTCGGGGATCAAGTTCTAGAGAGTAGCAGAAAGGGGGGCAGAAAGAGGGGCAGAAAGCCCGCTTGCTGATTGTGGGTCGGGTGAAGCAGGGAACACGGAGGAGGAAAGTGCTCCCTGAAGGGAGCAGCCGGGCTGGTAGGTTTGAATCAGAACAGCAGTGGTTCTGCAATGGAGAGTGGAGCCAGAGAGATAGATAGAGATGGGTGTCATCCGTATACATGTGGAAGTTAACCTCTTAGTGAAAGTTCACCTTGTGTCTGGGGATGACATCGTCGAGTGAGAGTATATAGATCATGACGAGGAGGGGTGTCAGCATCTGAGGTGAGGTGACTGGACGCAAGTAGGAGAACCTCTTTTTAGAACAGTTTTGTTTAAATGTTGTCAACTTATGATGTTTGGAGTAGTCTGGGAAATGATGCAGAGTCTGACAATGAGCGAGAGCTGAATTAATGCACGTACTTCATGCTCAGTACCCTTAGATTAAGGCTGGTGTTTCTGTGGATGACAATTGAGCTTCCGTGCATTGTCAGCATCAATAGATGATTCAGTCTCATATTCCCATCTACGACATCGAGATTAACAACAACAAGATTATATTTGTATAGTGCCTTTCACGTCAGGAGGACATCCCAAGGCGCTGGGCAGAGTACAGCATTTCAGACAAAATGATTAAGATTAAGATGAAAATATCCAAAGACCAACAGAATTGGATGTTACAAAAAGAAGCAAATGTTAATCAAATTCCTCGCAATTGTCTTATTTTTAAAATTGGCCGCTGTAGTGGGAGGCTCTCTCTCAGGCTTTGAATTGCCTGGGAAATGGAATACTGCTACTCAATGAAAGAACGGGGAAAAGCCCACTTATACTAACAACAGCACGTTACTTACATCACTACCACACCACTCAATACTTGTGAAAGACTTCAGGTATCAGAGGTCCCTTTTTCTCTTTTTATTATAAACCCAGTGGAGATTGGAAAACAAACTTCACAGCAATAATTGTGTGTGTCCGTGCCCTGTATTAAAGCTTTACAGTAGCCCACAGTTGCACAATATCAAAAATTATCCCCAAGTTTCTATCAACGAAGAAACGCATAGCTTGAGCAATCTATAGAGGTTTCTTTGATGCAAGTGGACAGACAGACATAGGACAAAACACTTCTGACCTTGAAACTGATTTATTGATTATCCAGCGCTCCTCTTAACAGAGCGAAAACTGAAACCGTTCTTACTGAATCATTAATGAATCCACATGCAGCGAATTTTCCATCATAGCTCTCATTTAACTATTGCATTCGCCAAGCTTTCTCCTTTGACAACAACCAAAGAAGAAACAAAACCAAATTGAAGCAACAGTGCACCTTTGTATTGCTTCAACTCCTAAATCTTGTTCTCTTTTAATAAAGAATAAGATTCTTTTGTAAACTTTCAACAAACACTGAATATGATTGGAATTGCAACATTGCAGCATAGCCAATTTGTAGACTTTCTTCAACCTTTTTCCCCCTCCTCTTGAATCGCTAACCCCTTAACGATAGAGTCTTTTTTAAACATTATTGCTTGACAATTTAAACCGGGTAACTGCCCATGATCATAACATTACTATTGATGTAGCACCTCCTTAAATGATCAATGTCAAACCATTTCAGCTTTTACAACTGGCTCTAATCTTTTCATGAAAAACAGATAGGAAATTACATTTAAAAAGTAAACATCCTCAATCATCAGTTTTGTAATTTTAACAATACAAGTTGTTGAAAACATTGAATTCGAGATCTTGCTTTTAAAGTGAGAAGATTAAGAGCAATCTGACTTATTCGCACCGAACTGTTTATTATAGATCATGCCCTCGCTGCACCATATGTTGTGTACTTTCTGGTATTCAAATCATTTAGAGGTTGTCTGTACATTCAAGGTGAAAGCATGGTGATCTTTGTTGTAATCAATACAACAGTGCCACTTTACATGGCCACAAAGGAGCACAGAGGCTGCGCTCTAATAAAATTGTGGCTTACTTCTGAAGCAATTGCAATGTCTGGACACACATTTAAAAATAGTGTTCTGTACACCATAGTAATCTCATTTTTCAGGTCTAATTTTAGGACTGCTGACGTCAAACTACAGAGAAAGTTTTTTGCAAAAACACAAAGGTCACTGATAGTTGGAGGAAAGTACAGACAATCAGTATGTGCCAGTAGTCGTTCCATCTTGGGTCATACAATCTCTTACCAGATCAAATTCATACCTATAGATTTTAGCTCTTGAAGTATTAACAGAGTCTAACCTATTCCCTAACAATCATTGTGCACATTGGTTTCAAGTGGTTCTCAACAGATACAAGTGACCTCTGTCACTGGCATGACATATTCTCTTAATCTGTGCTTTGTTAATTCTTGAGCACTGAATGTCAATGTCCACTACTAGTCAGTTATAAGACTCATACAGTAAAACTCCACCCTGCCAGTATAAACTATACTTTCGCCCACAAAATACACAGTCAACCATTTTGCAGTATATCCTATGAAAGCGCTTTGAGACGTCTCAACGATGTAATAGGGCGCTATATCAAATGCAAGGATTATTATTATACTTAGACAACAGTGAAAGACACTTCATGAGATTAAGCATGAGAACAAGCAGGGTAGGAGATGGGAGGTGGTGTCAGGAGGGAGGGGACCAAAAGCTTCCAAATACTTCAACCTTACACTCACACTCTCGGCTTTTAGAACCCATCTAAAAATCGAATGCAAAGACATAGACTTTTAGAAAAAAAACTCAGTTTTGAAGCCGAGAAGGAGAGAACAAAGCAGAGATATTTAGGGAATGAGTTCTACAGAGTGGGGGAGGAGAGAAAAAGTGGCTGAAAACTTGTCCACCAATGGTGGAGCTGAGGGGATGAGGATGTGAAACAGGTATGAGTTAGCAGAGTGGTAAGAGTGGGTGGGGGAGACATGCCGCAGGAAATCCCAATGGTGGGGTGGGGCAGGGGCATTCGAGCATTAGAGTGAGGAGGAGATTGCAAAACTAATTTTATCTGATGACTTATACAATATCATCTGAGAGTGCTGCTTATAATTGGCTTCATTATTCTCAATATAGCGCTGTAACATGATATGACTGCATCAATATGGTAAAACTATCCACCTTCATTTGTAAGAACCAAACTTTCCAGCTTGGCTAAAAATATCAGGAACTAAACAACATGCTATTCTACTGTTTATTGCGTTGCTGAAATAATCATTTTTATATAGCCAGTCAGGCTGGCTTGTGCTCATGGTGGTGAGAGAGGGGATGTGGAATGTGGTATAAAGTATGTTGGTCCCTATAAGTATGAGTCTTCATGGTTTGCAATTTGGAACTGTATTTAGAAAGTCACAATGTCAGATCTCTTACTGAATTGGTAAATGACTTACCTCCCAGGCATGAAGGAAAATATGACAACAACAACTTGTATTTTTATAGTGCCCTTCACGCAGTGTACCATCTCGGAACACTTAACCTGGGAAGAAGCCCAGTTGTCCCTGCCATATACATTTCTGCGTAAGGTAATGCTGTTTTTAGTGCCCCATTGTACGTAAATTAGTCATCATACAATAGTACAGCTCCTGTGGTCTGCACCTAATTACATAAAAAGCTGTTTGTAAGAACGCATTTTGAAAGTTGCCATGGAAGTTCAGTACTTGAGGGGTTGATTGTGGTATCATGCAGTATCACAATTACTGGTACTAGTCTAGTACCATGCAACCTCTGCAAGTCACACAGTAGCTGTGTTTTTGATTTACGTAATCATCTTTATGTTTGCTACACAGATACATGTTTCAAAGGTAACAGTCTTATTCCTTGATCTAGTTTCTCACACATTACTGAAATAGATAGTATTAAAGGAGAACAAATCTCCAGTAACTCCAACTATAGTGCTTCTCCCAGAACATTTCAAATCTCCTGAATAGGAGAAGAGATATTCCTGTATTGTCAGACATACAGCAGAGTGTTGCTGAGATGAAGGGGTGATGTTCTGCATTAAGCCGCATAGGAACATAGGATAATAGGAACAGGAGTAGCCCATTGAGCCCTTCGAGCCTGTTCCACCAATTTATTAGATCATGGCCGACCTGTGCCTCAACTCCAATTTTCCGCCTTTGGCCCATATCCCTTGTTACCCTTACTTAACAAAATCGATTCACCTCAGTCTTGAAAATGTGAATTGGTCCAACATCCAGAGCCTTTTGGGAGAGATAGTTGCAGATTTCCACTATCCTTTGGGCAGCTGTCATTCTGAAAGGGGAGCAGCATCTGCACCAGGTCTGCTACTCCATTGCCTTTATTGGTACTAGCTACAAATGCATGCAAGGTCAAGCTCAGTGCTGTGAGCCAGTCGAGTGAACAGACCTGAAGCTCAATCTGCATTTTAGACTAAGGTATGCAGTTCCACCAGTGCTTTCCCACGTGTTTCCAATGTTTTTTTCATGGCAAATGTCAGATTTGGAGACACAGACATGGAAAAAAACAAATTCCATTTGGAGCAATAAATGAGCCAATAAAGGGGAAGTTCAGAGTCAAACTGGGCAAAAACTGTTAAGTTCCAATACATCCAGGTGGCATTGGTTTATTCAGTTATGTGATGATCCAAACCTACTTAGGAAAACTGTCAGACCATCTGACATTGATGCTGATTAAATCTGCTGAGCTGCTGCCAGTTAAGTAGAAGCCTATGTTCCATGATTTTCTTTTCATTACAGGCTATTCTTTCTCAAGCTAAGATTTCCCTTAAAACTCAAACCACTAAGCGCAACACAATAAATTTACCTACAGATATTCCACAGTGTTTCACCTGAATGAAGTTAGTAAATCCCAGTCAAACTTTTGTAAATCACTAACCAAATGTTTATATCAGTATAGCCTCACTGTAGAGAAAGTTACCCAAAAATATTCCTCATCACCCAGTTTGAACAGAGAGTGTTCTGCTACACTTCAGCACAATGTAATAAAACTTTCTTACCTTTCATTCCAAACTTTGCATGCTTTCCAAACTTGAAGATTATTAGTACCAGTATCAACCCAGTGAATACCAATGCTGTGGTCCCAACGACAACATACACCTGAGAGAAGAAGTTTGGTACAGGGTTAGGCATTGGGAGTCAGCTTTGTTTTACATGATCTTTAATCATTCTGCATTGGTGATGATGATCCAGAAAATGATTGATCTTATACTATCTTTGTAACTTGTCCTTATTTACTTTATGATTTTATACATCCAAAACAAATTTCAAGCATAAGTTGATAAGAAATATGAGGAATCAGGAAAAAAAATGCAGCCCACTGCAGTCCATTCACTGTCCCAACATAACATTTAATTCTATATTAAATACACATAATGATTTGGCCTCTTTGAGTTGGTGTGATAAATTACTTCCAAATGACAAATATGCTGTTCATAATTAAAATACATTTATAAATAATCTAAATATTCAAAACAATCTGGGGAAAGTTAGAAGTAAATTCACAGCCCTTGCAATTCTAGCACAGAATGAGCCTTGCCAAACCGCTGGTGCCCTCGTGATACTCCTGCCAAGAGAAAGCAATACTCTCACTTCCACTCTTCAATATAAGCAAACGATTGGAAAGATTTTCCTCATGCTCCTCAGTAGGAACAATGAACCAGCACAAAACAAATACAAAAGAAAATCAACCCACCGCGACTTTCAGGATGGAAAACGATCGAGCTATGTAATTTGTTGATCACTTCGCATTTTGTTTCTGTGGGAAACTATTGCAGTCCAAAGATTGTGATTTGGTGCATTTTAAGCAATAGTTTTTGAGCGGATGCCAAATTGATTTACAACGTTTATATTTATGCTATCCTTACTTCCATTTATACGGTGCAAATCAATGTGCTGGCAAAACCACTTTCCTCAAGGTGATCTCAGCAACCAGGCTGTATTCTGAATCACTTTACAATAGTTTGTTTTACACCCAGTTTAGCTTTTTTGTGTTGATTCAACACAATAATATATCCAGGGATGTATTACATTACAGCATCCAATTGTACTTTGAATAACCCCAATCATTTTTTTTGCTTCTATTGTCTTGCCTTCATAGATTATTCCAAAAATTATGAGCAAAGACGCTTTTCCCGACATCTGGACTAAATTTCCTATTTATGTCCTCTGATCCTACTTTCTTGGCTGAAAGTAATAATTTGGGTTTACTTTATCTATATCATTTTTAAATATTTGGATGTGTTTTCCCCTTTGCTACGTTCTTTCCATACTCTGAAGCTCATGTTTCTCGAATTACAGGATAACAAGAGATGATTATCTCACTTATATCTGAGACCGATCATTATATATTGTTTTAGTATAACTGTTTTGTGGCAAAGTGGACAAAACTGAACACAGAATTTTCAATATTATCTGACCAGTCCATTTTAAAGTCATGGCCTAATTTCTGTAGCATTGTCCAGCTAAGCTGTCAGAGCCAAGTGTCAATCCTATATATGTATATATATATATATATGGATGACGCCAACAGTGCAGCTCTCCCCCAACAGTTTACTGGAGTGTCAGCCTGCCCTATATATGTTGGCGTCATCCTTCAGTTGAGACTTTGAAGCAAAGTCCTGTCTGCCTGGTCAGATGGATGTTAAAGATCCCGCTGCACTATTCTAAAAGAGAAGGCAGTTTCTCTAGGTGTCCTGGACAACAATCTGCCAGTGGGACACTGATGTACACAAATTGCTACTTGTTTGTCTCCAAAATACATAGTCATTACACTTTACAGTAAATCCTGTGAAACACTTTGGAGACAGGTTCCTGACATGAAAGACATTATATAAAATGCAAGGTTTATTATTATTAAACCATCCTAGAATTAATTTACCGATTGCCATTGCTTCAACAGATTGAATGTGACATCCTTGACATTACTCCAGATCCCTTTGTAAGCCTCCCTGCTCAAATTTCCATTCGTTGAAAAATTATGCTCCACATTTTTTTCCATAGCTGTCCAAGGCACCGCTGGCTAGATCAATGTCTGCAGCTACTGGCTTTGGGTAAAACTATTTGAACACAGACAGGAGATGTTCCCACAGCACTCATCAACTGAAACATCTCAAAGGCTTTAAATTCTACCCTTCCTTAGCCTCTATAACTATTTTGGCTTAAAATTTAAGACTCCACATAAAATTGTGGAAAACTCCCAAATTCAGGATTAAGTTGGAACCACTTTCTCACAGAACAGTTTGCAATGTATGAAAGCAGCAGCTAGTCCTAAAATACTGAAAAATGTAATGCATTTCCAAAGATTTCAAAGGGTTTTATTGTGAGACCACAATGTATTCTCACAATAAATGCTTTATTTAATTTATGCACTTATATGCAAATGGGTCCTTTCAAATATTAACCTTTCACTTTGCCTTTTATGACAAGTTAGTCACCATCAACACATTGAATTTAAATACATTTTCAGCACGTGATTAGTAGAATCACAGAAATTTACAGCACCGAAGAAGGCCATTGTGTTTGTGTTGGCTCTTTGAAAGGGAAATCCATTCAATCCCATTTGAGGTATATTTCCAAGTTGTAGTGGTAACGTGGATGTTCTGTTTTCAATTACAGTCATAGTGTGACTCCTTTGTAAGGTTGATCACCTCATTTGAAACCACATCTTGCAGCAAAGGAATACTTTGTGGTGAAAAGTTGGATGCAAAAGGATGATCTCCTTCCATGCTTGGTGTTGATGATCACAAGGAAATCTGTTCAGTATTGAAGGATTCACTTTCAGCTTCTCTCTGATCTATGCGGTTTTTTCTCTCCCGAGCCATGGTCTCCTCGACAGATTTGTTTCCTGATGCCATTTGAATGGAGGAACCAAGATGACAATGCTGAAATCTTTGGAATTAGCTCCTCACTGCCAAAAGCCCCTAGCCAAAGACTGATGCATATTTTTTCTTCTCCTTTGATTTAAGCACGAGTGGCACAAGCTCCAGCGGTTGGTGTCATAGGTACAGCACAATTAAAGACTTTCATTTTTTTTATTTTGACACCGTTCCCAAGAGTTGTTGCAATTTGGTGTCTAGGTTTTGGCTTTGCATCATGTAACGTTTGTGTGATGTATGCTAACATTTGAGCTTGTCTGAGCTTCAGATTCTGTTCTTGAGTCCCTTGGTTGTAAGCAACAGTTCTGCATGTGAATGCGTCGATCAGAACAAAAAGGTAGCCACTGTATTAAGGACACTATTTTAATACAAATCTTGTCATGACACATACAAAGTCCTCCATTCTTCATATCTTGTTATTGTATGAGTGTTTAGTGGAATGTGCGATATCAGCTGCCTCCTGTTTCTCTAATAAGCTACGAAAATAGAAATTAATTCTATTCCTTATATATTTGGCCTCGGAGGTCAGCAATTCTGCAAATCTATGAAATCTGTCAGAAATGGACCTTCTGTAAGTGTAGCAAGCTAAAAGTAACTCTACTTTAAGCTTAGCATGCTCAAATAACACACCGTAAATGTGCATCACATAAAAAGAAGCTTTTGAGAATACAATTTTCAGAATCCCTTCTCTATGATGTAATTGGTTAGTGTCTTTTTCTCTGCTTATGTTACTGTTTTGTGTAAATATATACATAGAGCACTTATACCCCAGTATTTTGTGATTTTTAGGTAAGTCAAATGTCAGCAAGAATGTATGGAAAACGATCAATATTAAAGGGTATGGGGAAGAAGTAGGTAATTGGGATAAGAGCAGTTAGCTCCAAGGGAGTAGCTGGCACCAACATAAACTCAATGGATTGAATGGCGTCCTTCTGTGCTGTATGATTCTAACAAGAAAATTATATTTTAATCCATAGACCTTTCCACAGACTATATGGTTTGCTCTATCACAGCTACGGCCAATGTATTTCATCTCCTGGGAGAATTGTCTGCATAAAATACCTTTGACCCTGTCTGCACCTACAGCCCCGCCCCCCCATATTGATCAAGCAAAACTCTTTTATCAATACTAGCCGTTCACTCCATGTGACAGTAAATACTTACAGCAATGCTATCTTCCTTTTTTTCAGTGACGGGTGGATTGTCTGAAGGCATTTCGCTAGTACCTGAAGACGGTTCAGCACTGTAATAATCTACTGGTGAGACACAAAATATTTGTAACCTGTTGTTAATGTGTTTCACCAACGAAAAGAGCTGAGCTCATACAACCATATGCTCCTGAGGTCATTATAAAACTGCACCAACCTCTCTCTAGGATGATACATATGCAATTGTTTTTGCTGCTTTAAAAATATTGAACTGAAAACTTTATGCTTTCCACCAAAAATATGTAGGCTTTTAACAACTGTTTTTAAAAAGTTACTTCTGATCCAAAATGTAGATTGAGGATTGCAGTGTGGAAGTTGTTAACATGCAATTAAAACAAGCCCTAACAGTGATCAGCAATTCATCACTAAAGGCTGGTAAGTACTGCACTGAGTTGCTTTCCTGATAAAAACCTGTTAAAGATGGGGACTTAGATGGAGGTAAGGATTCCTCCTTATCTCAGTCAGATGGTTAAACAACCACTCATGATATTTGAGAAGCTGCAGATTGTGATAGGGCAGAGGGCTGCTGGACCTCACTTGAGGAAGACAAAGCAAGGACAACAGCCCTCTGCTCTATCACTCAGATATCATTATTTAGCATGAATTTCCCTGGCCCAGCCTGTGCAATATCTCACAGAATGGCAGCAGATATCCATTAACTCTGATTGAGAGTTACATGAAGCAGCACAGGTGCCTGGGTGTGATGAATTTTTGGAGTTACTGTCCTTCAGAGCAGATATAATAATAATAATAATCCTTGCATTTGATATAGCGCTTTTCATGTCAGGAGGACATCCCAAAGCGCTTCACAGAACACACTGTAAAGTGAATTGACTGTATATTTGTGGGCGAACGCGGCAGCCAATTGCGCACAGCAATGTCCCACAAACAGTCGTAGATTGAAAATGACCAATTTATTATTGTTTTTGGTTTTGGAGGGATTATTATTAGGCGTGTGGAGTAAGGAAACTTGCCCAAGGTTTCGCCCTGCCTGGAATTGAACTCAGGTCTCTCGCTTGCAAAGCGAGTGCTCTAACCACTGAGCTACAGGACTCCACATGAGGTACCATTTGCCGGTTCAAGTGAACGTTAAATAACCCATTCATAGAATCATAGAATTATACAACACTGAAGGAGACCATTCGGCCCATCGTATCTGTATCTGTAGTTTTAAAAGAGCTGTCCAAATCAATCCCACTCCCCTGCTCTCTCCCATAGCCCTGCAAACTTGTCCTCCCCAAATAATTATCTAGCACTACTCGAAATGAGAGGGAAGTTTCTCCCAGTATCTTGGCCACAATCCTAGCCAGATGAGGTTGGCCGATCACTTCATAGCTCTTTGTGAGACATTGCTGTGTCAGGTTGACCACCACATTTGCCTACAGAGTGCATGGTCACGACACTTTACAGTGAATCCTGTGAAGCACTTTGAGACATCCTCCTGACGTGAGAGGTGCTATATCAAATGTGAGGATTATTATGTGAATATAAATTGCATTACTTACCATAAAAGTCAGGGTCCACTGGTTCATTGCCTAAATCAAAACAAACACAGTCAATTAAATACAGATATTTATTACATTGATTTTCTTCTTTAAAGTTTAACATTTTAACCATTTTAACTTAGTTTTTATTGTGAGTGAAAAAGTACAGTGATCCAGTTTCTGCTAATGCAGCATGATGGAAATTTATTTCAACAAATCTGCACATTTGCAGTTATAATTTTGGCCTTTTAGTTGTATTTTGTTTCTTTATCTCTTCATGAAAACGTATTAGTTTCTGTGGAGTTTTCTGGTTTCAGATATTTTCACGACTGAACCTGTGGTAGTTTGTTCATAAGTGTTGGTGAGTTGCCAACTTTCATAACACAGAACAAGTCAGCTTTATATTTTTACATTTATTTTTAAACTGTCTATCTCTTTTCATAAGTTCTGAGAATGAGTGGAACCACCTGGAATACAGAGAACAGGGATAAAATGTATGCCGTATAATATGGTAATAACAATCACAAAGAACTCCTCCTTCTCCGCAACTCCTCACCATTCCCTGCATCCCACACTTACTTCTTAAGTATCACAAGGAACAGGTCATCAAACAACATATGCTTAACTTTGGAGTCCTGTAGCTCAGTGGTTAGAGCACTCGCTTTGCAAGCGAGAGACCTGAGTTCAATTCCAGGCAGGGCGAAACCTTGGGCAAGTTTCCTTACTCCACACGCCTAACAATAATCCCTCCAAAACCAAAAACAATAATAAATTGGTCATTTTCAATCTACAACTGTTTGTGGGACATTGCTGTGCGCAATTGGCTGCCGCGTTCTCCCACAAATATACAGTCAATTCACTTTACAGTGTGTTCTGTGAAGCGCTTTGGGACGTTCTCCCGACGTGAAAAGCGCTATATCAAATGCAAGGATTATTATTATTATTATTATTATTATTATATGATTGGTTTTCTTCATTCTCAGAATCTGTTCCTTGTGATAACTGTTATAAAAGGGACATGTTAGATGCCTCAGACTTATTCGTTAGCTACCACTGGTGTAAATTTACAAGGCGAAAAGCACAGCTCACTGCACTGCTCCAAAAGCCGCTATTTACCACATTGTGTGACTTAGATCATTTCTTGACCCAACACAATCTTCCTTTCATTCCTCTCATCAAATGCAAAAACTGTGTTTAAGGGGTACCTTCCTCTTCTGATCAGGTTTGAATTTGCACTCTTATTTCTCTACATCTGTAACTGTTCATTGTGTCCCTCTGTTGCTTCATAATACCAATTCATGCTTTGATATGATGGACAATAATAGTCATCTCTCTATGTGGTATAGCGCCAAAAATGCTAAAACATCTCAAAGCATTTCACAGAGTTTATTGTAAAGTGTAGTGTTTGTGTATTTGTAGACTAACTGGCAACCAATTTGCAAATAAGATGGGTGGTCATGACAGTGGGAGAAATTCCCTTCCTTTTTCAAATAGATCTCTATGTCCACCTGAACAGGCTAATATGCTCATTACATGCTTTTAACAAACTGCATTGAAACTACTTTCAAAAAATAGAATGTGTGATAACAAAACACCCACCTAGAGGATGGAGCATAAAGTGAGCTGATATTGTACGCTCATCCTGTCCAAGGTCATTGTTTATGTACAGAGTGTAGTTCCCATTGTTCAGATGGGTTGGATTGTCCAACTGCAGGCAACCGTGTAGCTCACTGAAGTTCTCTTCGTGAATCTGTGTCAGTATGAAATCCGTCTCGTTCAGGAGATGATTGTTGTGGTACCATTGAATGGTGGGTGGAGGATTTCCCATCACACTGAATGGAATGCACCAGTGGTGGTCTGAGATGGCCTGACCTAAAAGTGTTATCCTCGGAGGAACTGGAAAAAAAACAGAAAAATCTCAGTTAAACTGAAAGGTTTACAGAAAGTGCTCAAAGTTACACTATTCGGTTATTTGCAATTTATGTCATATGAATTTTTCTAAGTTGAGCTGCTTTCAGCCGAGCAGGAGTTAGTGCATTACAGTTAGCCTCCTGGATTAGAGAAGAGAAGAATCAACCAGGATTCTCACTCATAATTACTATCCAGTCACTGCTATTGAAAATGAGTCTGTGCGTGTATATGTATGTAGACATAAAGTGACTGGAGCAACTGGGACTTTTTCCATTGAAACAAGAAGGTTGAGGAGTGACCTAACAAGAGTTCTTTAAAATTATGAAGGGGTTCAACAGAGGCTATTGTAGGAGTCCTGTAGCTCAGTGGTTAGACCACTCCCTCGCAGGCGAGAGACCTGGGTTTGATTACTGGCAGGGCGAAATCTTGGGCAAGTTTCCTTACTCCACACGCCTGATAATAATCCCTCAAGAAAAAAAACACAATAATAAATTGGTCACTTCAATCCACGACTGTTTGTGGGACACTGTTGTGCGCAATTGACTGCCACGTTTCACCCATAAATATGCAGTCAATTCACTTTACAGTATATTCTGTGAAGCACTTTGAGATGTCTAGAAGACGTGAAAAGTGCTGTATCAAATGCAAGGATTATTATTATTTGTAGTAGTATTGGCCCAATGGGGAGAAATTATTTCCACCGGTTGGTGAGTCAGTGACTAGAGGGCATCAAACTAGTTAGCAAACGAGCAAATGGGGAGGTTAGGAGACTTTTTTCACACGTTAGAATGTGGAATACCCTGCCTGGAGTGGTGGTTGAATCAATATTTGCTTTCAAGTAGAATTAGATAGATATCTAAAAAGGAGCAAATCTACAGGGGCATGAGGAAAAGGGCAGGTAAATGGTACTGAAAGGATTTTTTTTTGGAGTCAAGGTCTCACTTAGTGAGATGTAAATGGTATTCCCCACTAGAGAGGCCCTTTATTGACATTTAGCACGAGTAATGGTACCACTTTCCTGAGGAGCATTTGTTCCAAATATCTTCCCCCCTTTGAGTGTGGTTGACAATATAAAGAAAAATAAGCATAACAACACATCCTTACAGAGCACAGTTAGGTTTACAAAGGCCTTTGATTCCCCCACTATGTTCTCTGCAATACAGATGAGCTGCTGGGCATTATCCTCTCCAGACACTTGGGTGAGTTTCAATATAACTGGTGGTTTCGAAGGTTCTGTTGTCTGTAACGAGAAACAGGCAATAGTCACTGGATTAGCAACACCGCGTTGATTAAAGATCAGTTCACTAAAGCTTTTCAGCATGACTTGCCTAGTTAACTGAACATGAATATCATCCAATATCAACAATTTTCAATAATAAATTATGATGTAATGGAAAGAGGTTACAGACCAGAAGCTGGAATCCATGTCTATTTTGCCAATCTTAGCCAGGGTTTCATGGGGACAGCCTATTGACATTTAGTGTCCTGGCAATCAAATGGGTGAAGTCTTTTCAATGGTATCACAAGATCAGGTCGGATGAAGAAGGCTCTTCGGGCCCATCTGATCTCATCGCTTCAGAATATCCATGCAACTGGCTCCCATCACAGCATCAAAGCTGCTTTTTAAATTAGTCCAATGTTCTGGTCTCTACCATCTTTCCTAGCAACCTGTTCCAGTCATTAATTGTCCCCTGATTAAAGAAAAAACTTCCTGGTGTCTGTCCTGAAGTTGCTCTTTGCAACTCTAAACCTATATCCCTCTGTTCTACTGTCGTCGTGCATCATAAAGTATTATTCTGGGTTTATTTTTTCAGCCCCATTTAAAATTGCATATACCTTCATGAGGTCCCCTTTGTGTCAATTTCTCTCAAGACTGAGTATGCATTAGCCACTAATTTTAGGAAAATGGTGAAAGGGGTGAGAGTAAATTATTGGAAGAGAAAATGTTTATTTTTCTGTTAAAAAAAGAACTCTAGAATGAGATCATAATAGAGCACAGATGTTTCCCTTTTAAATAATTTGTCACAGTCTAATAAATAGAAGTAGAGGGAAAAGCCTAGAAATCCTGGCGGGTATGCAAATGTAATAGTCTTACCTGGTAGGCGGACATGAGGTTGTGTTCTTTCCAGAAGATGGTTGGAGCTGGTAATCCGTTGCTGGTACACCCCACCACAAGTTCCCCACCTTCATTCAAAGTGATGTTGGAAGCGTTCACAGCAGCTTTAGGCAACTCTGAAACAATGCCAGGCGAACAGTATAAGATGTACATTGAGTATTGGGCAGTAAGTACCATAGATTTCAATGCTCAAATTCAATTCAGAATAGTTTGCTGATAGCCAAATCTTAATCTGTCACTGGGAAATCTACATGCCCCTCCCACCCCCAGTATTTCTCCTGTGACTTGTTGTGTATGTTACTGTTGAAATTGATAGAAAATCGGAGTACACGGTCTTGACGCTTCATAGTAAATCCCATGACTCACTTTAAAACATACTCTTGACATGAAAGGTGCTTTATTAAATACAAGGAGTATTATTATTATTAATAACTATAAAATGTGTCCAAATGTTCGAGAAAGGTTGCGTATATTCCATTTAATTCAATTTCAATGGTATGAAAAGTAAGTTTGGTTTTTACTTAATTTATTTTATTTTCTGGCATGCATAGATTCAACCACCAACGCCCCACAAACCCCCATCAGAAATTCTAAACATATCCCCTGTAAATAAAGTGTAGGAAAATAATTCCAGTATTAACTGTGGCATCATGTTACATTTGACTGGCATTAAATAATAACTACAAAAACGTTGCACATTGATGTTAGGAAACACAGTTAAGAATAGTTGTAAAGAGAGAAATTCCACCTAGACCTAGATTTGCTCAATTTTTTTAGCATTTTGAAGCATTCAGACATTTGCAAATATTTAACTACAATCTTTCATTTTGAAGCCGTTTTTCTGTAAGTTCTTTTAAGAACTGTAGAAAACCGGCTTCAAAGTTAAAGCTGAATTTAACAATTTGCAAAATTCTGAAATTCTACATAAAATAAATCTAGACCTGGGTGGAAGGTTTCAAATCTTTTCAACTTTCCTGAATGCTTGATTTTTGTCTCAAGCATTTGTGCCTTTTTAAAAAAATACACATATACAATATTTTCCTATAGGTATGTTGGCAGGATTGTGCAGGATCCTATCAGAAAAAGATAAGACTTTTTGCTGTATAGAAATGTCTAAGTATTGACATCAAAAGTGAACAGGAACAATTGCAGGAGAATTCATTTTAGCAAAAAGATGACAGGCAAACTTTACCACAGATAGTGATTCAAAGAACTATATAGAATTTCCAGAAAGGAAACCTTTCTGTGTTTCCAAAAAAAACATTCTTTGGTTGAAATGTTAAACTGAGGTCCTGTCTTAAGGTAGATGTTAAAGATCCCGTGGCACTATTCAAAAAAAGTAGAGTTTCTCACAGGGAAGATAAAATTGATCGTTCATTTCATGGTTATTTGTAGAGCATTGCAGTGTGCAAATTTGTTGTCTTATTTGCTTACAAATACACAGTTGCTGCACTTCAGAGTAAATATCCTGCAAAGACATTGAGTTGTTCCGATGATGTAATAAGGCACATTATCAAATACAAGGATGATTATTATAACTAAATTACAGGACATGCCCATTGGATTAATTGGCATCAAAAAGCCTTTGTCATAATATTTTATTAACGGGAGTTGACGATATATTGCTCAGTGTCCAGTTTCTTAATTACTATCTGCTGCATTTGTTTTATTGAGAAACCCAGTTGAAGTGCCAAGGCCATAAAGTAGGAAACCAAAAAGGTTAAGAAATAGAAGGTGACATTAAATAATTCTGGAAGAAGCGTTTAGGCTGAAGTATTTGATTTTGAAAGCTTGCAAACTGTTTAAGGAAAGACCAAATCAGGTAAAGATTGCTTTGAATCTGGGGAGAGAGTGCATGTGGAGCAGAAGATGGTAAGTTTAGTCTTGATTTCAATAACATGGAGGAGATGCTGCTAAGTGGAGGAACATATTTGAAGTTTTGGAGGAGCAATATGCAGAGAGGTATCAAGAAAATAGAGAAAGAGAAGAAAGGTTATAATGAAGGCTGGGGATGCAAGGGTCACCTACCAGATGACATGTTTTCTTATATCCTTTACAGTAGTGCAAAGTAGTCTTGGAAACATGTCCCACAAGATAGGATTGCACTTTAAAATGTTAAGACTTGTTTTTTTAAAGGAATGTAAGTCTTTGACCTGAAACCAAGCTTCTTGGAGACAACTTTAGCAACGGAGATGTGTGAGTTTCACCTGAAGTCAGAGCAAGATTATAAACTAATGATGATTGACAAACAGAGTCCTTTTTGTGACACCAATTGTGACAATTTAATATATTGGTTTTGAATTGCTTGGTGGACCCATAGTCATTTTGTTCTAAATTGTAACTTTAGCCATTGGTAGCATTTAGTGGACACATGTGGATACACAAATGTTGTGGTACCACATCTGGACAATCATACAGCAAGCACTATACACTGACAGTTATTTTCACCTCAGTGTCAGTTCCTATGTAGCACAGAGGAAATGTAATGAAAATCTCATTTCAAGCAAACATTGCTGCCGTTTAAGACCAATGGAAAATCAGGTGCTCTTGCCTGGCAATCAAAGAATCACCCTTTCATTACCTTCATAAAGGTGTCATGGACAAATGTAACCCTGGTCCTGCACCTCCTTTCCTTCTCTTTCAATACCGTTTATTTATTACTCGACACCTGGTGTATTCATTGAAGAATATTTTTCAACATATTGGAAAACCATTGCAATCTGGCATGGCACAAGGCAATAAGGAGCCAAGCTGATGCCAAGTTTTCTATCCATTAAAGAAAACTTAGACTTCAAGTCACCTTAGAACAGTTTTAACTATTTTCTCGTGACCAAGTACAAAGGAGAACAGCCAGAGGCCTGGGAGCAGTCTCCTGGCATCTCTCTCAAAGTCAGGGTAATGGTCCAGCGCCAAGAAGATAGGAAAGAACAGAAAATTAACTTAGAAATAAAAACAAACAAAAAAGAAAGGACAGACCCAACAGCAACAATATTGATTTCCATGGCAACAATATTTGATTGTTTTTCTATTGAAAACATCAGTCTTAGGCAGCTGCATGTATTAACTAAAAAAAAGTGGACAATAGAATGTCAAATTCTTTTAAATTCTCAACTCTTGCACAATGCAGTTCATATTAATACAATCTCAGAATAATTAAGTCTCAGAAAATCTTCAGCTGATGTATACATTTATTTCACATCAAATATTTACTCTATAAAGATGAATTTTGTGGGATTTGACAAAGCATTCCTTCTGCTAATTATCACAAGGAATGTGCTCTGAAACATCACAACTGCATAATATCAGAAGCTGACAGAAAACCATTTGAGGGAGATGTTATCTGGCAATAAGGGGTTTGCTTAGTCTCGATGCCACAATAGATATTAATACCCTCAAACTAACTGTAATGTCAACCCTTGATCAGCATAGACATGTTCAAGCACACACTCCACATAGCAACGTGCAGATCACCAATTCATGATAGCATCTGGGACATAACTGGAGACAGCATCAAGACACATCTGTGCAACCCTGTTTGTATTGAAATAGGAGTGGACCAGGAAAAGGAGCACAACAAGTTAATTCATTCTCTGTTGATATAAGACATCCATGACTAGATCAGCTGTAAAAACATCTGCCAATCTAACCTCGATAAGGAATAGAACTCACTTAAGGTGCAGGTGGTGAATCAGTGCTAGTTTAAAGCATTGGATCTCAGTACAAATGAAGCATCTGCTTGACCTGATTCAGAGATGTTCGACCTCTTCAATTAAAAAGGCTATAAGAACTAATTCACTTTCATCCTCGCAAACGCGCCCAATGCAGTCACGTGCAAGAGGATCATGCACAATGAACAGCAATAAGTAGAAGGAAATGAGATGGCTGTGCTGAGTTCCGAACAATGAGTTTAGTTAATTAATCTAATAAAGCCGGCACTTAAATCATGTCAAACAGCTCCAGTCAACAAAAGCATTCAGCGACCACTGTTGAGGTAGCAGATCAGAGGATAAAAAATTAATAGAGCTGACTGCAGTAGAAGCGAAATATTATTCAGAAGTGAAATAATATTATCCAGAACTTTTTTCTAGGGGGGGAAGGAAATGTTGAATTAAATCTAGCAAAAAATTGTTCTGGTGAATAAAAGCAGAATAGATGTGGATTACACATAAATTAACGTGTTGATGGTTTTACAAGCTGCATAATCGCTGCACAGAGAATTAGGTGACAGTATATATCTTCCTAAATGTCGTCTATGGGATTCTGTGGCACAGTGACAAAGAGAAGTAAATATAAGAAGAATATATTCATGCTGTTTAATTAGTCATTTCTTCCACAAAGTTTAATTAGATGTCCCAAAATGTAATTACAACAAACTCCTGCTGACTTAGCCGTCTCAGAGGTCGCTTTTTACCCTGCAGTTTTCTTTGCATGTGGCCCAAATGAGTAATTTACTGTTCCCTGTAGAGTGAGTGACAATGTTAGTTACACATACTTTCACTCCACATACAATCACTGTGGAGACAGACACCTCAGCACCAAGGTACCCATGATTGGGATATTCTGATTCATTGCACCTTTATTATCAGTGCAACTGGGGTGGGGGAGGGGGGAAGAGGGTGGGAAAAGAAAAAGAGCTGTCAGAAGCTGATGGTATCAGAAAGCAACAGGCAGTAAGAATGTTAAAATTAGTGGCCTTGAGGCTCCTGCTTTTAAAGAGATATGTCTGTGGATGCTGACCTTGATTGAGTGAATGTAATTTACAGACTTAAGAGCGTGACAAGGCCTACAGAGATCCCCCAGTGAGTTATTCTCTGCTGTGGATGAGTTATTATTTTGTGGTTCAAACACACATGAATAGCACTGTTGTAAGAAAGAAATATCACAGAAACATGGCATAGCAACCAAATTTGCAGCGTTTCAGAATGCATTAAATGTCCTAATTATCACATCCACATCAAAGGCTTTGTGGATAATGCAAATTTCACTTCAAAATGGTTCAGGTTTTTCTATATTGTGCATTAATGTATAAGGCTTAAAATTCCACATGGGATGTCAGACCATTTTGTCTTAAATTTTAAGATTGTACAGAAATATGGGAAAATCTTAAATTCAGTCTGGATTTGGAAGCGGTTTCTTTTTAAGAAACCAGCTTCCAAACTGGATGAATTTATGAATTGTCCACAATCCTACATGAGCTTAAATTTCAAGACAAAATCATCTTCCAGGCTAGGACTAGGTGGAATTTCAAACCTATAGTATGCAGTCTTCATTTTACTAAGCTTTTGTATTTGCCTAACAATTAAATCTTTCTAAGGAATCAGTCATTGCTTTAAGAGTAAGTCTCACTAGAAGTCTTCAAAAGACATAATAATCCAGAAGAGATATTATTGTGGTTCTTAAAGTTCCTCCCAACCCTGAGTAGCTGCAGGCTTGTGTTCGTTTGAGCAGCTATTGTTACATTTTTAAAATAACATTTGCCACTTTAACGATGCAAGGGGTGAATTCTCCAGGGGTTAGTAAATGTTAGTAAATGTGCCCTTACAAGCACATAGGTTGCCAAATAAATAAAAATGGGAGGGAGAGAGACTGCTATTTTTACTCCCCAGCAGATCAATGGTCCAAACGTGTGAAAGTCAAAACACTTTCACACGTGTAGTTGGCAGCAAAATGTAGTGCCTGTGAATTTATTTTATGATTTTCCTGAAAGGCACATACACAGAATAAACAGGTCTCACTGTTAACAGCTGAGTCCCAGGTTCCCTCAAACCGTTGCCATTACTAAATTCCACCGCTGTCACACTCTCAGAGGAACTCAGCCACAACTAGCTCTACATGCCAACAACTAAACATGAAGCAGAGTAGGTCAAAGAGGTGGAACAGGAAACCATCACAGATAAAAATTGTGCTTTATTTTACTTCTCGAACTGCAAGCTGAAGATTGAGGTGGGAACCTGACAGATGTATACAAAAGGGATTTGAGGGGTTGTGACAGGCTAAATAGGGAGAAGTTATTAATAGGGGAGTCATAGGGGAGGCTCAAGGAGAAGGTTATAAGTTATCCACAAGATCAGCAAAAGGAGAACTTAGGAGGATTTTTTTCACCCACAGTGTTGTTGGCACATGGAATGCCTCACCGAATAGGGTAGTGGAGATGGAGTTCTTGATGGACACTCACCTATTTTATTTCTCGAACTGCAAGCTGTAATCTTGATTGAAACTCACCTTGCAATATCTGAGCGTGCACTCAGTTTCATGTCAGGCACTCTCACAGCAAATGTAGGTTAGCACTGCGTGGCTACCCAGGGATGAGAACAACTTAGGGAAGGTTAGCAGCTTATGATCTTGACAGCAACGAATGGCTCAAAACAATGGCTTGTTTTCACTCTCTTCCCCCCTCCTCCCCTATTACATTTCAGACCAAGTTGTCTTAGTCAGGTTTAATATTCGATTTATTTTTCATTGAAATCAGTTCCTTTAGTACTAACAATGACAGGATGATTAAATCACTGAAATAGTATTACAATAAAAGTCAGTTACCAGGTATATTTTTTAAAAATATTTTGCATATTGGAGTCCTGTAGCTCAGTGGTTAGAGCACTCGCTTTGCAAGTGAGAGACCTGAGTTCAATTCCAGGCAGAGGGCGAAACCTTGGGCAAGTTTTCTTACTCCACACACCTAATAATAATCCCTCCAAAACCAAAAACAATAATAAATTGGTCATTTTCAATCTACGACTGTTTGTGGGACATTGCTGTGCGCAATTGGCTGCCGCGTTCGCCCACAAATATACAGTCAATTCACTTTACATTGTGTTCTGTGAAGTGCTTTGGGACGTCCTCCCAGCGTGAAAGCGCTATATCAAATGCAAGGATTATTATTATTATTATTATAATAAGGACAAAGTTACTGGTTGATTTCATAGATGACCGATATGGCAGCAAATGTGAAGAAGATACTAAAATCTAAAATCCTAACCGTTCCCTGGGTATTTCAGACATGTGTTCTGACTGTTAAAGCCAGGATTTTAATGGCATTATTATCTTCAATCTATTGCCACCTTTTTATAGAGGTTGTTTCCACTTCCGATTTCCTCCTGTGTCTGTCAAACCTTTCAAATGTCACCAGAGGGAAGCAGAAAATTCTTCTGCAATGTACGTGTGGATGAATGGAAAATTGCAATGAATGGGAAAACAGAAAAGTCTGTTACCACAGTCCGGAATCCTCATGTGTGACAGTAACATCTTCCAGTCATTCTCCCCTCGGCACGTCAGGTTTTGAGACTCCAGGGTTGCCAGGTTTTTCTCCTGCATTAACTGGATCCACACAATGTCACAGGAGCACAGGAGCGGGTTCTTTGTTAAGATGCTGCAGGAAAAATATTTTCAAGCCATTAGAGTTGGCCACCGATAAAATAGTATTTGTTTCTTACGCACTTCATTACTGCTCAGATCGGTCACACACATGCATTCAGTATTCAGCCGAGGGACACTCACTGTGAATACAGGTTATCATTGTGTGGCTAACTATTCATGAGAGGGACTGGGGGCAGCTCAGCCAGTCTGAATCAGCAATGCCTGAAAGTGAATATATTAACAGTACTATATATATTTAAATCCCTGACTGTCCAGCGCCTTGGGACGTCCTCCCAATGTTGAAGGTACTATACAAATGTAATTTGTTATCGTTAAAAATATTAATAACACTTAGGGAAAGTATTCATAAAGCCACCAGGTTATATTATTTCTCTCCATCCCTCCCAAGATGCTGCAGAATCTTCCATGCTCTATAGATATGAAAGCATGCAAGCAGGCATCAAAAGATGAGGGGCTACAGTTTTGAGGAGAGATTGGAGAAACTGGGTGTTTTCATTGGAGTAGAGAAGGTTGGGTGGTGTGGGGGGGGGGGGGATCTGATAAACTGTACAAGATGATGAGGGGTTTTGACAGGGTAAATAGAGAGAAGTTATTTCCATTGATAGGGGACACGGTTATAAGATAGCCACAAGAACAGCGAAAGGAGAATTTAGGAGGAATTTACTTCACCCAGTGCTGTTGGCAGGTGGAATGCCCTACCAAATAGAGTCGTGGAGGTAGAGTTCATTGTAGCTTTCAAGAGGGGTGTAGACACGCATATGAAAGAGAGGACCTTGAAGGGATATAAGGTTAAGGCGGGCGGTGGGATTAAATTATAAAAATGATCTTTCCCCTTACTCTGTGAACAATTATGGACTTGATGGTCTGAATGGCCTCCTTCTGCACTGTAGCTTTCTATGTTTCTAGACTATAAAGAACTTTTATTAAAATATAACTGAAATGAAATAACAATCCTCCAATTACCCATCATTTGTGACCCATTTTTCTTGGGGGTCAGCCAGGTGTCTGACATATGAGGAACCCCATCATTATGATTATGAGTACCCCAACCAGATTGAGAGTTCCACACATGTATGCCACCCACACCTGGAGAAATATCCTTCTATGGAATGGAATGCACACTCTCTCCCTGGGGGAATGCTCTCTGCTTACCTAATTCTGGAAAGCATTACTGCAGGTTAGCATTAGACTTGGGGACTCAAGACTGTTCATTGGGTTAGTGCTAGAGTTCAATCAACTAAAACCATATAGCTTGCCATTGAAATCGCTGCTTGGCAAGCTTCCCACTCCTGGTCTAACTAGACCCACCATAACCATTAAGGCTTTGGCTTGGCGGGGTAGCAGGAGCCGATTAGGATCCCTGCTCCCAGTGACTAGTCTACCACTCTAAGTCGCACCAAGGAGCCAGGCTGGCTGGTCTATCATCAGCAATGCCCTGGAGGACTGTGGCCACGCATACCTCAGGAACTAGATTATCAGACCACCACAGAGGGTTGACTAATTTCCAACTTTCTATTGCCAAGCATGTCACATTGGAGCCAGTTTAACTCCAAGGACTTACCTCCCCACAAGGAGAAGGACTCTGATTTATTTAAATTAAATTGTGACTGTAAACAACAGTTTGACTGAGCGATTCAACCTGTACTCTCATTCTTCAGTCAGGCCACTTGTCCTCATTTGCAACCCGCAGTAAGTAACCCGCTGCCTCCATTATTGCTTAAATCCCTTGGGCTCAGGCCACAGACACGTTCAAATCAACTTTATTAAAAACAAAACACTGATTTATTTTAGTATCTATTTTGTTAACGTTGAAATGCACTGTGCGTGAGAAGTACTGAGTGTACAAATACTTCATTGATTGCTTTTTGAATTGCATATGTAACCAAATCAAATAATATCATTTTTATTAGATTATGGCCAGGCTGAAAAGAGGGTTTGTTTGGCTGGAAGTTGTTGTAAAAACCACAGTGGATGACTGGTTCCACTCAGACCTGAAACCTATTATTCTGCATAGGAGCCCTGTTGTGATATTGGACAACATTGAGAGTATCAGAATAGCATCTAATATTTTTAATTAAAAACAAGCTGCAGTAAAGGCAAATGCTCCTAATCTAACGCCAGCAATGGATGAACTTGTATGTGGCTGCTTATCCAAGTTTTAACCCACCAAAGGCAATTCAAATGCTAATTAATGCTTTGCATCCAAACTGTTTGGATTGATGTCAAAGAATGGACACCTTCTCACTCCTCATTAAACGAACAAAAGTTTATGGAAGATGAATGAAAACTACGTCTAAAGAGGAATTAAAATCCCAAATGAAACTAAATTGGGAATAGTGCACATTTAATTCTGGGAAAGTTTAAGAAAATCGCCCAATTAAAATGTTTTCAAACTGAAGTAAGCCATTTGGATTCAGTTCTAAAGAATATTTTTACATAGAATAATCTCAACTAAATAATGCTTTTGGAAATAGTTTAGAAGCCAATGGCGCCTTTTGAAACATGGTGATAACAAAACGTTTAAAATAAATAAGAAAAGAATATCTGACTTGCTTTCCTCTTGTTTACAACTCCATTATGATGGAAACAAAGTGTCTTGTTTCTAACCTCTGAATTAATTTAGCTTCAGAAGCTAACAGTTTAAAAGTAAAACTTTGTCATTAGGTGTAATCTTAAAGGATTGATTTGATAAAATAGTAATTTACATCCCAAATCTGATTATTATGTATATTATATATAAAATGTATTTTCTTGAACACCATGTTTCAGTCTAGCAAATAAACATTTTACTGCAATTGAATACCCTTTGCTTTATATTTTACCAATTAGGTAATTTAAAAAAATGCTTCTCATTGCAAGGGCAAGCTTGTTTTCAGAATATATTAAAGCAACTAAATTCAGCTGTTAATTCTAATTTAATTCTTCATTGAGGATTGTAAGGAATAATGTATATTTCTTTCAGAAGTCTCAGGCATTAATTCAGGCAATTCATGGAATTGTAGCAGGAATTTCCAATGCTCTGTGAGTAACCAGGGTAAAGGAATGTTAAATGAGTTAGGAACAGAACAAGGTGTGCACTCTCTTAATGGCGCCTTTAATATTGTTTTATGACTTAACCTCAGAGGTTATCCCCACTTCCTGGTATGATGTGTACAGAACACAAAGGAGTCTGGAATACTAACATATATGATTAGGGTGCAGAAAACCATTCCTTAAAAGAAAATGATTAACACAGACATGTTTGTATTGAAACAAAGATATCAACTTACATCCAACATATAGTCATGAAAACAATATTATGATTATATTTACTCTTCATAATAGAGAATTCTTTCATTCTGATAATCCATTAAGAACACAGTCCAGGGCCATTACTAAGATTGTAAGACATGGAACACTGTAGCATTAATGTTGCACAAGAAAATATCACTTACAGGTGTGTCAGCTCCAAATGACGGAAAGGTTTCCAAGACAAGCTTGAAAAGCGATTATTGGAGAGGTTGCTGGAATAGAATAAAAACAGATCCTGGGTGAGTGATGCTCTGATATGGAACCTAGGTTAAAGTGGTGTTTTACACATGGTCTGAGAAGGTGATATTATACAGTCCAACCTGTGAGAGAGATATTACATAGTGTAAACTGTGAGATTGGTGTTATGGGGTTGAAAACCCAACATTTCATAAGGGAATTCCAAGTTGAAACGTTTTTGGAGTTAAAACTATATTCCAAAATCTTACATCAAGAAACCTTATATGTAACGTCATCTTCTAGCAGTTGTTTCACCAGCAAGTGGCTAGCTGATCAGAAGGAGCTATGATGTGGGAATAGAGGCCAGAAGTAATGCACTGAGAACAGAAACGTGTTAATTAAGAAACTATCTCTAATTTTTTCCCCCTAGAACCAGTGTTTGAGCGCTATGTACAAGATACCAACTGAGTTAAGTTTGTATCCTATGTTCAGATGTACTCAAACACCAATAATTTCACTCAGCCTCAGCAAAACAATTTGGCCCAAATAATTGTTGTCAGGGACAGACTGGGTGGCATTATTTGGGTGGAGGCAAAGAACCGTGGGTTTGGGGTTCAGCCATTGCTCCACAGCCTGCAGATATGCATGGGCTGTGTCACTCCATTTGCAATCCAACTTCAACCATCCTTCAGATCCAACATTGCAGCCAAGTTGTGGAGTCCTGTAGTTCAGTGGTTAGCGAGACACCTGGGTTCAATTCCAGGCTGGGCGAAACCTTGGGCAAGTTTCCTTACTCCACATGCCTAATAATAATCCCTCCAAAAAACAAAACAATAATAAATTGTTCATTTTCAGTCCGTGACTGTTTGTACACTGCTGTGCGCAATTGGCTGTCGCGTTTCGCCCACAAATATACGGTCAATTGACTTTACAGTCTATTATGTGAAGCGCTTTGAGACGTCGAGAAGACGTGAAAAGTGCTATATCAAATGCAAGGATTTTTATATTATTATTAACGTTGAACCAAGGTCCCCTCTGAGGTTAAAGTTCCCATGTTACTATTCAAAAAGCGCTATATCAAATGCAAGGATTATTATTATTATTATTATTAAAAAGAGAAGGGAGGTTCTCTCTGGCCAACAATACCCAAAATAAAATTGATCATTCACTTTGTAGCCATATGTAGAACATCACAGCCAAATTGGCTGCCATTGTAACCTACAAAATGTAGAGTGACTACACTTTACAGTATATCCAGTGAAGTGCTTTGAGATGTCCTTCTGACGTGAGAGTACTGTATCAATTCAAGGAATATTGCTATTAATAAAGGAAGTTGCACTGATGCACCCATGGCAGCACATTGCACCCCACTAGAGGGAGCAGTGTAATTCCAGCCGGCTCCTGCTCTACTCCTACCTGAGTATATGAGCTACATCCACACCACAATGCATTGAAAATAAAGCAATTACTAGGTATTAATTAAATTTTAACAAAAAAAAGCAGTAATCAAAATATGATTGTGCGAAATAAAATAATCAGTCCATGTATACATTAATCAGAGTATTCCTTTATCTCTCCATCATAACATTGTTTTATTAACAGACAGAACTAGGTAGCAATATGATTAATGTAGAATTTCCACCATGTGGGTCAGACACCAGAAACTTCCTCCCTCTCCCTGTATGTACACCTCTTTCTTTTCTACTATATCCTTTTGTGGTATGATGCTTCCTGTAAGATTTAATACATAGGTTGCTCTAATAAAAAAAAGCACACCTGCAGTGAACATCTCAATAACACTGCTGCACAAGTCATTACAAACCTGAATGAAAGAGCAGTGGAGTTCGCAGTTATTGACTGATTTTTTTTCATCATTTCAAAGATCTGCTTATCCTTCAGGTTCAATTTTGCTTCTCATTTGTTTTATTCAACTCAGCCTTTTGAGCTTCAAGAATCACATTACATTAGCGCATTGATATGACTTGCTCGTGATCAGTACATTTGTCTGTGCTTCTCTAAGACCATTAAAACAGACGCTTCACCTACAAAATACACAGTCACTACACTTTACAGTAAAGCTTCCTGGATGACTGTTTGTCTCTCTCAAGCCCAAAGTCGCGAAGCCAATACCAGCGACTTCAATTCTATCAAGCTGCGTACTGCTGATCATGCAATTACAGCAATAGCTGACAATTCCTGATCAAAACTCATGAAATTCATCTATCTGTAACTCTTTGACCGCACTTTCAGTCCTCATTGCCCTCCCACCATCTTCGACTTCCATTCCCATATCATATGCTTTGAAACACCAACACCGCCAGACATGAAAAGTGCTTTATAAATGTTGTTTGGATTGGATCCCATTCGGAGTGGTTGAAGTAGACAAAGAGTTGTTGACACACAACATGATTGATGGGCTAGCTGTAAATGGGATCCTCTGGATCAACCATGAAACTGCCTCTGGGTTAAATACTGGCCAAGGCCTGGGCAGGGAAGAGTCACAACTCAGGAATGAGAGAGCAAGGGAGGACCAAATTTAAGCTACAAGAATGGATCAACAACAACAATTTATGTGCATGGTAATTCAATACAGCCGGTAAGTGCACATGCGATACTTCGTCACTGCAGCTGACAAGTGCGCATGCGGTGACGAATCAAGACAATGTTTCCCGTGATTCATTGCGTCTTCATCCATCACCGAATGTGGACTTACCAACAAGCATTGAAATCGCACTGAATCACGGGAAATTGAGTTCTTCTGTCCATACGTCAACTGATCAGAAATACATTTTCCGCAATTCAATTCAGCTGGCTGGTAAGTGCGCATGCATTGACGGATCAGGACATAATTTCCACAATTCAATGCAACCGGTAAGTGCGGGAGTAATGGAGGATAGGGCAACATCATTATGAATAAGGAGATGATTAATTAATCTAAATGGTTTTGATAGGAAACTGAATGGGACTCGAGTGAATGTATGATGTAGGTGATTGTACAATTTACAAAGATAAAACCTATGTGAGTCTTACTGTATAACATCAAATAAAAGAACACATCAATTCAGAACTCAACACTCACATGTACTGAAGCCGAGGGTTATACAGGAATCCTTGCCGTGAAATAAACGTGAGTCCACAATTAACCAAAGTGCTAGAAACAAAATAGAATATGTTCAATTATTCACTGCTTCACTGGTTAAATGGTTTATGAATCTCTAGGCTATTTCCTGAATTAAACCATCTAAATTTCAGTACTCACAGATTCCTCAGTCCAGTGTAAGGTTCCATGTCACGCTCATTGATACCTGACAGGTTGGGCTGGTTTGCAATGTAGCTGTTGAATAAATAAGAAAGAGCCATTAATTTCTTTTCAAAACAATTTTTTTTGATACTAGGATTGTAACTTGCTTTGCTTGGCTTTGGTCATTGTTTCACCTTAATGAAAATAGGTTGCTCTTGAGTCTAGACAGTTCAGCACAAAAAATATGATATTTCATATTCTTTTTTCAAAACCAACTTTGGGGAAAACCTATTTGAGTGAATCACAGAAGTGACACAAAAATGTCATGAATTGCCTAAAGCAAATAAATATCACTATATTGTAATTTCTTATGTACAGAAATACCAGTAGAAGTTGGAAGGATATATTCAGTGCAATGCAATATCACCAGATGGAAATGATTTGAGCTGTTGGGTTGAACGTTGGAACAATGTTGATTTGCAGAAGTAGCACAACAGTTTAGTTGTGAAAGAGCCCCAGAAAGATTTGATTTGTTCAGTCAATCAGGACCAATATATGATGCCAATTTTACAACCCTGTATTCTTACAAACTCAATAAAAGAAATTGGAGCTGGCTGGAGCTTCTCCATTCAACTGAGTGCTCCAAATCAAGAATGCTCAAACGTGTCCAGCAAGATCCTATTCCTCCCCCCACCATCTATTAAATAATAATACTCACCAACCATCAAATGTCAGACACAACAGTTATTTGGGGAGATTTGGATGCTTGTCACCAAATGTGAAACTTTCAGGCCTGGTTTTGTTGGTATTTTGCCTTTAATCACAGATTAGGATATCTCCTGCTCTTAAGGTATTTTTCTAGTTTACCCCTTCATTGTTTCTGTTCCACGAACTAACTTGGATGCATGTTTTGTTATAAAGTCTCCGCCGATTTTACTCTGAACCCAGCCACCACAAGGTTTGCCAGATTCACTCAGGAGGTTTCTTGCTAGCTATTCCTCTAACGTTTCGAAGGGGCATTGACTCAGGTTGGCTCAGACCATTATGCCAGCATGTGGGAGATCATCTCCTTCCACTTCAACTCCACAGTGTCAAAGTTGCCATTCCTACTAACCGCCCATTAGCAAAGGCAACATTTGACAACACAATAATTGAAACAAATTACAGTACTGTACAAAATAAAGTCAAAATGGAGTTTTGGTGAGATTCAGAGGAATAACATAATTCCACTGGGGAGAGGAACCACTCATGGAAACTGAAAATATTAACTGAATGGATAAATACCTGAAAACGTCACATTTCTGAGAAATGAACTTGATATCTGACAGATCCTTTCCTTTTTACCACAGCAATCAGTGTTATCTATTTGCCATTTACTATGAAGAAACCACCAATTAAGCTACTGAGATATACGCAATATTGTCAATGTTGAGAAAGGTGCTCTGTGTGCATTTCCAGATGTCTATTCACTTCCTTAGGCAGTTGGAGTTTCTGTAATACTGTCTGTTTAGTTCACCTCATTGCACATTGATTGAACAAAGCTCAGAAGCTGTGCACCCTGTGTAACTGTAAAGATCCACCTCCAGCATTTTAATCTGAACCTGTCGGGAATGTCTATGAAACAAATTGAGAGTGCACAGTATCCATTGAAATATCCCAACTTGATCATTCAAGCCAGGGTTGTTTGTGTCTGTCACTTATAAACAATCACCTGGGAGAACCCCTAACATTTACAATACATGAGTGAGATTGGAAAAAAATAATAATCACTAAAAATCTTTACAAAAGATAGCATCTGCCAGGATTGAGAATCCTGCCCACTACAGCACAGATTCACTAATTTGTTATATGATCAAATGGCCATTCTCTGGATGAATTTGAAGATGGACAGGCAATTAGGTAGGTTGCTCTGAACAGAAAAAACGTTCCCCCATTCAAAATTAAAATGTATGTCAAATTGTAATCATTTAAATTACATAAGTAATGTGTGGTATAACTAGAATACTTGATGAAGAGCAACAGGATATAAATTGTATCCTGCGGTTTCTTCTCTTCTATCCTCTATACAGTGTACGCTAGGCTTTTAATCCCCTCATAATCTCACTTTAGAACTGCTGAATGAATCTCTGCTGTCAATGAAAAGACAGCAGCACCATAGATTCTGGGAATCCTCAGTCAATTTGACATCAGATCTTGTTTTTATTTTTTCTGCCTCTCCAATTTTCTCCTCCTTCCGCCTGAAGGTATTGGCGTATGCTGATGTGTGACCCCATGGTGACTGGTTCACCTTGAATATCTTGCCCAAGAGGCCATTCTTCATGTGTCAGTCCAGACAGTGTCAGCAGGTAATGTGTCTATGGAGGACACAACAGCCAAGCCTGATCCTATCATCACCTGACACCTACATGCCCATTCTACAGTGAGGTTCACTGCATAGTGATTTATTTTTGGTCAGCTGGGTGTCTTGACATATGTGGAAACCCATCACCGTGCTTAAGAGTATCCAAACTAAACTGAGAATTTCACATATTTATGCCACCTACGTCTGGAAAGCAATGCATGCTCTCTCTCTAGAGGGAAACATCTAGATAGTGATCAGGATTCAGGAGAGGAACTCAACCTATTTTTCCCTCAATACCCCATCAGCCAAGGGTAATTATAGGACCTTTACTGCTGTCCCAGCTAATTCCAGCTACCTCACCCCAGATTGGGGACCAAACAAAAAAACTTTCTGGTCTGTATGCCTCAGTTCATACAAAACAGTGCATTTATTGAGCAAGCTTCAACAATGTTTTTTTTTGTTTCCTGAGGTGGGAGAATACGTTCTAAAAATTTATGATAATAATAATAATAATCCTTGCACTTGATATAACGCCTTATCATGTTGTTGAGATGTTTCAAAGCGCTTCACAGAATATTTTGCAAAGTGGACTGACTACGTATTTTGTGGGTGAAATGCAGCCAATTGCATACAGCAGTGTCCTACAAACAGTCGGTGGATTGAATGACCAAATTATTATTATATTTTGGGGGTAGGGATTATCACGCGGGAAAAGCGATCCCCTTCTTTTCCTTATCTACATGCTCCCTCTCGGCGATATCCTCAGACATGGGGTCAGCTTCCACTTGTATGCAGATGACACCCAAATCTTCTTCTCCTCCAGCTGCGACTCCCAGTCTGCTGATGTCCTGTCAGCTTGTTTTACGGACATCAAGGCCTGGATGAACACAAATTTCCTGCAGCTGAATGTAGGCAAGACGGAAGCCATCATTTTTGGCTTCCAACAATGTCTTCTCCCCTGTGGGTCTAAACTCCTCAACCTCCCTGGGCTCTGCCTCAGACTCACCAAACAGTGCGCAATTTAGGCATCAGGTTCAATCCTTTCCTTTCTACCCCACATCTGTTCCCTGACCAGGATTACTTTTTTCCACCTCCGTCACATTGCCTCCTCTGTCCATTCCTCACAACCAAAGCAGCCGAAACCCTTGTCCACGCCTTCATCACTTCCTGGCTGGACTATTCCAATGCCCTCCTCGCTGGTCTGCTCAGCTCCACCATACACAAAATGCAATTAATCCAAAACTCCACCCCCCCCGGATACTCACCTGCACAAAACTCCGTACCCCAATCACACCAGTCCTAGCCAGGCTCCACTGGCTCCCAATTACCGAACGGATCGACTTCAAGATCCTCTCACCCATTTTCAAATCCCTTCATACGCTCGAACCTCCCTACCTATCCGACCTGCTTATTCCCTACTCTACCACCTGCTGCCTCCACTTGGCCTCCTGTTTGTCCCTCGTCCCCTGCTCTCCATCATCAGTAGCATTGCCTTCAGCCACTATACCACTCAGGAACTCTCTCCTTCAATCCCTCCACTTTGCCCCCTCTCTCCCCCACTTTCCTGCATAAAGACCTTCCTTTTTGATCGTGATTATGGTTACCTCCCCCTTCCCTCTCACCCTGGCTCGGGGTAGGACTCTGCCACTGTCAAGCGCTCTGGGACGCTATCCCGCGTGAAGGGTGCTATATAAATGTAAGTTGTTGCTGTTGTTGTTAGGTCTATAATCAAAATCTAACATAAGTTAGAGCACCAAGTTAGTAGAGGATGGGAGAAAATTTAAGGTAAATATAAGTGACAGTTAATGAGTGTTCAATTGCAACTTAATCTGTGGTTTCAGATAACCCAATTAACCACTTTGTTTTTATTTTATGAAATAATCGGAACCTCATGAATTAAATTAGTGTATTACTCATTCCCAAACATTGATTTCCTATTAATTTCTTTAACAAACACTTCAATAATATACAACTCTAGTACATGGATTATGTTCAAATATATGTTTGCATAACATTAAAAACTGAGCATATTTTTGGTCTTCACAAGTTTATTACTACAATATTATTTTTGTAGGTGTTCACCCACAAAAATACAGTCACTATAACGTATAGAAGATTTGTAAAGAGTTTTGATGTGTTCTGGACATTATTGGCACTATATAAAATGCAAGGATTATTATTATTTTTGACACATTTGATCTTCATGAATGTGTTGCTTTAATATTATTGCTTACAGTAATGAAAGTTGGGTCATATTTGAATAACATGCACATTATTATTTGATGCTCTCTAAAATGTAGTTAAATTGTGTCAATTTTCCAAGGGTGTCTGCATATTAGAGATTAAAAGATTGCTTGAAACTTAGACTAAAACTTATTCTTTCTCATATCAAATTGTTCTCTGACAAAGCTAAACTTATTTTACACATTTACACTTATATAGCAACTTTCGTGTCAGGAAGATGTCTCAAGGTGCTTGACAGTCCCAGCTTGGCACCCACCCGAATTAATAGGAAGGATGACAGAAAACATGATCAAAGAGGAAGGTCTTGACATGCACATTGAAAGAGGCGAGGGAAGGGACCTAGTCAGAGGGACTCGGGTTGGAGTTCCAGAGTGTGGGGGAAGACAAACTGAAAGCCCGACTGCTGTTTTCACTAACACAACAAGACCTTCACCTTTTTAAGTCTGCAAACACCCCTTGGTAACCAACATTGCTTGTCCTATACATTTAGCTTCTATGACTGCAACTA